AGGTTATGTATTTGTTTAAACAAACTTTATTTTTGCTAAGTACGGATAATTAAATTCCCTGAATTAAAGAGAAGAGAAAAAAACACAAGAAAAATTAAAAGAAAATATATATTTGTTTGGTTTGGTTGTTTGTTTAATATGTAAATAACCATTATTGAGAAAAAGAAAAAGCCGGATTATCAAAAAACAAAATTTTTATATCTATATGTGTTTGTGTATGTAAATTTGTTTATCTAGATGTTATTTTTGCATACATATGTAAATACCTAAAATTTTTGGTTTAAAATAATTTTTCCTCTAAATAATATTTTTTCCTTTTACTGACATCATTGCATACAATAAGGGAGGTTACGTGGTCTCATCAAGTTTTGAATTTGGATTTTTCGATTGAAAAGCATTTCTCCAGCGATATGTCACGGATTTAGATATTCTAGATATGTCACGGATCTATCAACTTTTAGAATGTGTTAGCTATCGGGAACTAGACTTGTAATACCACAGATTTTTGATAATTTTAAAGAAAATATTCAAAAGACTAATTCAAAAATAGAAAGGAAATTAGATACTCGTATTAACATAACAGAAATTTCCACAACGGCTCACATTTACAATTTTCTGCATGTAAAGAAAAATAATCAAACAATTTCCTTCGAATTTAATATTTATACTCAAACTGTTAAAACGAATTAATAACTTTTTTGGAAATATCACGGCTCAAAAATTAAACTTCCTCTAGAAGGCGATTTTATTTTTTTTGCGATATAGAGGGAACACATAGATTGAATTTCTGGAAATTTAATATTTGAGCTACGTGTGCTACTGGAATTTAATGATGAACTTTTCAGGGAACTCTAATGATAGTAAGGAAATCTTTACTAAGAGAAAAATGTCCTTAAAATTTAAAGGAAATTTTTAAAGGGCATATTTATAATACTGGACAACACTTTCGATAAACAATGTACTTTGCGGTCGGTTATGTGCTGATCACATTAGATTTTTGTATTTTGTAACATAAAGTAACATTTTAAGGGGATTTTCATTTGATTTAGAAAGAAGCAATTTATTTATTTTATTTATTTTAATAACTCTAAAGAGGGCTTTTAAGTGAAATACATGAATAAGAAATTTTCTGAAAATTTAAAAAAAAAAAATTAAAAAAAAGTAGAATGGACCTCTTCTTATGTACAATAAGGAATAAACAACTTTTATTTTATGTCAAGTACATTTTATTTTGTATATGTATGTATGTATAGGTAAACTTTATTTAAAATGTCATCCTCCTCGATTTACGCACAAAATATCTACATATATAGAAAATTACTTTACTAGAAAAAAAAAATGAAAGAATCAAAAATCTAATCAATTTATTTTTGTTAGAAAAATTCTTAAACTGAAAATTTTGTTTTTCTTTAGAATTCACTTCGTTCTTATATTCCTTTATTATGTAGATTCAATACAGCAGAGGAATTTAGGCAAAAATATTGACTATTGAGTATATAGTGTTCGTGCGGTCATATAATTTTGGCTTTTCAATAAAAAATCTTGAAAGTTTGTAATCCCATGTATCCCATGTAAAAATATCAACCTTATAAAAAAATTTAAAAAAAAAAGAAAAAATAGACTATGTGATATTTTAAGTACGTTAGTATGTGTGGGTATTTGAAGAGTAAAATAAGAAAAATAAACGTCATACAGATGTCTTTCAATATTTCAATATTAAAAAATAAAAACCATACATTGAATTAAAATCAAATAAGGCTTGTTGTTGAATTGGCCAGGATTTCAAAAGAATATTTTGTAAACATTTCATTTCCCAAAGCATTTCAGTAAATAAGTAATATGTATTTAATGCAATATTTGTATGTTAGTGTGTGAGCGAAGAAATAAAGTGATAAATTTTGTTGAGTTAGAATATTTAAAAGCTAAATATTTTTTTGCAATTTCTCTAAAAGCAAGGAAAAATTTATTTTTCAAGCTCATAAAAATTTGTGTTTGTTAAGTTTAACAAACTTAAATATTTTAATTGAATGTTAAATTGAAATTATGTTTCTTCATAAGGGTAATTTATAAGATAAAAAATCAAGTTAGGTCATACGAATGGTATGTATTTTTTATTCAAAATACTGTTTTCAAAAACAATCTACCACATTATTAAAATTACTTTCATTCATATATTATAGTATTTAAAGATTGCATACATTTAGGATAAGGCAAACAAAAAAATTTAAAGAGGCCGTTAGCATAATGCTAATATAAACACCGCGAGTTAAGAAAAATATTTTTTGATGGAATGGCATTTTCCGTCAACTTTCTGTATTAATAGAAGTTTGGAAGAGCTTACAGTTTCGGAAATAAAAGGTGGAGAAAATTCAAATTTTACAAATTTTGAACGGAGATAAAGAATATGGAGGTGGAAAAAAGTAAACTATTAATTAATGTCTAAAGATTGCCAAAACTAGGTCAAGACCGTAAGATTTAGACTCTTAAAACTTACGGTCTTGACCTTGCATAAAAAAACTTTATCAAAAATTTGAAAAAACGGATTTTAGATAACGTTTAATTTTAGCGGCCATTTTGCCTTTTTAGTATTTATTTATGCGGTGCCGCGGTACAAAAAACAAGTCACTGCGTTTGCAAAATTTCAAAAACGTTTATTGCTTCTCTAAAATAACTAATCAAAAAATGGCATTTTTAGGTCTTTGAGGGGCTACAACTTTTTAAGCGGGGAGCTAGGTGAACATTTTCTTCTGTGGAAATAAGTTTCTAGTAAAGATCTATGTACATACGAATTTGAGCTTTTTGGACTTCACGGACAGGCGGACGGGCGCAGTGAAGCTAATAAGCTTTTTTTTTTTAAAATGTTTTAGAAAAGTACTAAAAATGGCATCCACATGACCTAACTGCATGAAATTATTACGTAGATAATTTACAATGAATGTCTAAAACATTTTGTTCAGCAATAAGTTGAAAATTGAAAATCTTAAATTTTGGCCTGAAGTTGTTGTATTTTAAGATTCTACATAATGATTTGATTTATTTACGAAACATAAATTCACAAATTTATTTTGAAATTTTTATACAAGTACTCAAGCGAATATATGTTTGATGGCTGAACGGTCTGAAGTATAGACAAATTCATTTATTGTTCAGTGGAATTGAAATTGTGATTCAACTTCTGCCCGTTCTCAAAAAAAATTTAATTTTATACACGACATAGGTTTGGATAGCTGTCATATATGCAGCTTCAAATTTGGTCATATCACAGAAATTATTAAGAATGCATTATTAAAATATAACGGAAGCCGGTTCAGTTTCAGGTCTTAGTTTATCAAAGCTATGTATGCACGATCGCAAATTTTTTATAGTATTTGTATTTAATCTTTTGTAAAGTTTGTATTATCAGTTCGGAAATCATGTAATTTGATTTTTCATCAAAAAATATAGGAATATCTTTAAATTTATTTTCTCCTATTTACCTATATTCCGTAGAGTTTCCGTAGAGCTTATAGAAATGAGGCAAGAAAAATAAAATAAAATTTCCATTTGTTTGGTCTGATTCAATTTTTACCGACCGTATTGTGTAAACAATAGGTAGGTTATGTGATGGAGGTTATGTGATTTTGCATATCAAGTTTTCGGTGGGAATGCACTTCCCCATAGTAGGGAAGTGTAAGTAAACTACTTTTAGCAACCTGTCGGTCCGTCGGTCTGTCGGTCTGTGTGTGCATGCGTGTATCTCAAGTTCTGCTGAACTGATTTTGATGAAATTTTATATGTAAGTTTATTTCCACCATGGCACGGATTGATCAACTTTTGGGATATATCAGGCCTCGGGAACTGCACTTTTTAGCGGGCCTGTTTTACATTTTTGAACATTTTGAAGAAAATATTCAAATACAAATATTCAACATACAAATTTTTTGAAAAGATCAGGGCTCGAAAACTGATCTGCGGGCCGATTTTACATTTTTCATCATTTTGAAGAAAATATTCAACCGATTTACTTAAAATTTCATATATAAGCTTTGCCCGACCGTACGCGAAAACTCCTAACTTTTGGAAGAAATCAGGCATCAGCAACTGGGCGTTTACTACGGGCCAAATATACATTTTTGCGTATATAAAGAGAAATAATCAACCGATTTCATTGAAATTGAATATTTAAATTCTTCGTATTGAAACAATGAACATACAAATTTTTTGAAAAGATCAGGGCTCGAAAACTGATCTGCGGGCCGATTTTACATTTTTCACCATATCTACGGACCGAATTGATGGAATTTCTTGAAATTTGATATTTGAGTTCTGGTTGTTACCGAAACTAACTGGCGAGCATTTCAGGAAATTCGGGTTGCACAAAGTGAAACTCTAATAGGAGCCAAATTTTCATTTTTCTAGATATGTTCACTATTACCTTACTAATGCCCTAAAAATTGGAAAGAAGTATTTAACAGACATTTTTATAATATTCTGTAACATTTCCACTTAACTAGACAATACACATTGCGGTCGGTTATGTGTTGACCACATCAGTTTTTTTTTAATGTTGCGTGTGGAAAAATTTAAGATATTTCATGTAATATTCAAGAAAATATAAACTTTGTTAATATATTTTTTATAATAATATGTAGGCACATATTATGTATATATGAATTTTGTGGATAAAGAATTTCGAAACAATATGCTCAAGGGTTCTTTTTATTTTCATCGTGTCTCACAACAGTCAGACATATGCGTGTGTCTACAAATTTTGTTGAGATATTAAAAAAATATTGAACTTATTGTTTTTGAAAATTGAATCTTCTGGACATAAAAAACGTTTTTATTAATTCACTTTCATTTTTTGTATATTTTTGTTTCAAGTTTTCGGGAAAACAACAGTTTTTGGAGCATTGTGTTCAACACATTGTATTTTAGAAAATAATAATGGCTCTTAAACTTAAAAAAAATATGTAATACTTATGTAGATGTGTAAATTTGAAATATTTTTGTTTACTTACTTTACATGTGTATGTACCCTCATCTAAACGGTTCGCTTTACTGACACCCAATACTGATGTGTATAGATTCTCGTGTTCAGGTGGTAAGATAACAGTCCATATGTCTCTGAAAATAAAATTATTTTGCGATATTAATTTTTCAAAAAAAAAATTTAAATTAAATTTTATAAAAATAATATAATTAATTAATATAATGCAAACTGGACAGAAGTGCAACAGAAACAGCTCTATAACTGTTTCTGTTTGCATCGAAAGCAATTGGTTTTTCGTGTTTTCTATTATGTATAATTATGTTACTTTTTGTAGAATGCAACTACGTGATTTCAAAACCCATTAAAATTTTATGAATATATGGAAGCCGCCTAGTATGATAAGCTCATCTTCTTGAGCGGGGGCTTCCAAGCGGACTGTGAAAAAAACTTATGAAATATTTCGAAATAAAATGAAAATGAAACTTTTGAATATGTATATCTAGACATATGGGAAAAGTTGAGTTTTGAGAATTGCTTCAAACAAAAACTGCAGACTTCATTAATCAGATTGTATACAATTGTTGTTTTACACATTTTTATACCCTTTCGAATGTATATTCGAAGGGTATACTAAATTTGTCTTACAACGCTAAGAAATAACGGTCTTAGATATAAACTCAAGTGTATGTTTTTGATCAGCCTCAAATTCTGAGTTGATTTAGCTTTATCTGTCCGTCTGTTCCAACGATAACTCAAAAACTAATTTAGCTCAATTAGAACGAGTTAAAGGCATAATTTTTCTGCCTTTAACTCGTTCCTTTGATTACGTCATCCATCTGTTCTGCAGTTGCATGAAGAAATTTCCATTAAGATAAATTAGTAGTGTAATAGGCACATTCTTATTGATTCCGCAACTATAATGTTGTATTAGTAAAATTCATAATATAATTAGTGGAATAGGCACTATCCTATAAATATATATGTTCTTGTTATTGTGTATTTCAATTAATTGTATGTAGCAATCAATGTAAACAAAAAACAAATACTTAGTAATCATGTGAATTACAGTATAAAGCAATGTAGAGAACATTTCGTCGGCAATTTCTTCATGCCTCTGTAGCTAAGTTGGTAGAGCGTCCGCCTAGAAAGCGGTATGTCACTGGTTCGAGTCCAGTTCGAGGAGAAAAATTTTTTTAATGAATAATTTTTCTGCTTTTAACTCGTTCCTTTGATTACGTCATCCATCTGTTCTGCAGTTGCATGAAGAAATTTCCATTAAGATAAATAAGAAAATGAAATAAAATACTTTCGATACTAAAATTATGAAGGCAGGTTTTAATACAAAGTGGCTATTAATTTTTAATTTTCTTAAATAATATTTTTGTATAAATTTGAATTTAAATTTTTTTTTATAAAACCTTCTTGTGCTGATAGTCTTTTAAATAAAAACTCTTATAAATTAATTTAAAATTTTCTATCATCATTTTTGTAATATGCGTCCTTATTAATAAATTTAACTAATCTCTTGTTCATAAACTTAAAAATATATTTCATCATAAAATTGTATATATATATATATATATACACAGGGTGATTCAGAAAGTTATACAACAATATGTACCATTGGTTAGAAGATCGAAAACAGGTAAAACTTTTTTTCTGAACTGGGTGCCAAATCTCAATGGTTTCCGAGTTCCAGGGATCGAATTTTCACGAAATTTTTTCTTATTAAAGATTTTTGGATTATAACTTCCATTCTAAATAAAGTTGGGTCAAACCAATGGTTTGTATTGTAGCACTTTTCCCTTCAACAAGTGAAAATACTGCTTTTAAAAACAGTCTATGTATATCCACCACACTATTAAAATTATTTTCATTCATATACAAAACTATTTCTAGGATTGCATATATTTAGGATGATGCATACATGCAGTCTTTGAAATAAAGCAAAAATTAATATAAAAAGGGGTTAACATAATGCTCGATTTTAAGGGTTAATTGTGAGAGTTAAGGAAAATAATTATATTTTTTAATGTCATGGAATTAACCGTTAAATTTTTGCGTTTATAGAAATTTGAAAAAGCTTGCGGTTTCAGAAATATAAGGTGTCAAAAATGCAAATTTTACAAATTTCAAGAGGCCATAACTTGAGAGGGGGTGGAGATGGAGAAAAATTTTCTTCTAAAGAAATGAACTACTTGTTAATGTCTAAAAGTCCCTAAAATTTCAAGCTTCTATAGGCTGGGGTCTAGAAGAAAAACGGCATCAAAAATTTGGAAAAAAAGGACTGTAGATAACGGTAAATTTGAACTGCCATTTTGTTTTTCTAAAGTTTAACTATAGTATACCGCGGTAGGGGAAGCAAGCCAGGCCATTTTTAGTGCTTTGGGGGGGTATAACTTTTGGAGGGGGGGAGATAGGTAAAAATTTTGTTCTACAAAAATAAGTTTCTAGTAAAGATCTATGTACATATTAAATTTCAGCTTTCTATCTTTAAGAATGTAGAAGTTTTGTAAACAGACACACGGACCGACGGACGGACGGACGGACGGACGGACAGAGTGAAACTAATAAGCACTTTTTTTCAAAAATTTTTTGGAAAAGTGCTAAAATGATACGAATTTCAAACGAACAGTTTTTGAAAGGCCTAGTAAGGGGCTTAATAGACATACTGCTTGATTTTGTATTTTATGTACCTTTGGAATACTAAGTTTTCGAAGTTTGGGGAAAATCAAAATTATTGTTTTATTTTTTCAGTTTTTTCTAATAGATAGATAATTTCGTAAGAAATTTTTTAAAACTTTAAAATTTTTTTATTGAATTTTTCCCAGTTGTTTAAACATTAACTTAAGTCCTGAATCATTAAAGGAAATTTTATGTTACAGAAGATATAGTGCAAAAACCACAAATATTGTGAGCCATAGATTCAATTAAAATCAAATCAGATGTTAATGAAACTAAAATTATATTCAATTTTATATTCATTTATCAAAAAATTTGGAACAATACGAATTCCTTATCTAAAAATTTTACAAATTTGCATATTTTAAATTAAGCGTCAACCGATCATACCAATTTCAGTTTTTGTAGAAACATGTTTAAAATTTATTAACTTCATTAAAGTATTTATTAATTATTTATTAGTTACCTAATGTTAATACCATATCATTTACATGCTCCATTTTGTTGAAAAAAAAAAATTTCCTATTAAAAAAATTTTTTTTAATTAAAATAAATGTCAAAATTTATATGGCATGTCTTTAAAAATTCGCTTCAGCTAGTTAATTTTAATATCTTCAGATGCCAAATGGTGTCTAGATTTCGAAAATATTTTTTTCAAAATTTTAAATTGCACCCAATCTGAGAAAAATGCATTTAAAATTTTTAAACCATATAGGTACCATTTCTTATAAAAATTGGCAAAAATAAAAAATCTATCAATTTTCTTTACCAAGAAAAGTTTCGAAAAAAAATTTTTGATTACTAGATTTTTTTGTTTTTCCTAATACAAATTCTAGTTTTTCTTTTCAAAAATTTCAAATTTTTTAAAATCAATTTTTGTTTTTCAAACTTAAAGTTGTATAAAATTTCGTTTCAATTTTGTTATTATTTGTTTTATTTCAATAAAAATTTAGGTGCCTCATAATTTTCAGAGCATAATGGCTCTTAAAAATGTCAACTGTTTTTTTGAGTGACTCTTGTCATTAAAAGGTAATGATAGTTGATAATTAGAGCGCTTAAAATCTTTGACTTAAGGGCCTTTAAAATCTTGACATATAAATGGTTTTTGTGCTGGGCAAAATTCTATATAAAAAATTTCAAGATTTTAAAAATTTTTTTACGAAATGATCTAGCTAGAAAAAACTGAGAAATCAAGGGAAAAATTTTATTTTCTTTAAAGTTGGAATGCTTGGTATTCCAAAGGTACATAAAATACAGAATTAAGCAGTATTTCTATTTTAAGTCCTTTACTAAGCCTTTCTGAAACTGTTTGTTTGAAGTTCCTATCTTTTTCAGGACCGAAGTTATAATGAAAAAACTAGGATAAGTAAAAATTTCGACAAAGTTAAAATCTCTTTATCTCGGAAATCCTTGAGATTTAGCACCTGGTCCGGCACAAAAGTTTTGCCCATTTTCAACCCTCTAACCGATTTTATATGTTATTGTATACCTTTCTGAATCACCCTGTATATATAATGTATTTCATATTTAAATGCTTGGATAAAATTAAATTTTTCTCCCGAAATGAATCATTAAAATTTTATTTCAATTATTTAAAATTTTTTTATGCATTTTTACTACCTATACACTAAAATTTCAACTAAAATTTATTTTATTTCCTGGATATTAAATTTATTTTTTTGTTTTATACTTTTAGTACAGATTATGAACGTTTAACTTGCACTTAGTTTTCGTATGTTATGCTTGTGTTTCTTATCTATCTACGTACATATGAGTGAAAATATTTAAACCAGGCATGTACGACTATTTTAATTTGACGTATAAAGATCTTTAAAAAATGATTTATAATCATCGTTTAACAGTTTCATTAGACGATAAAAATAAACTAAAAAATATAAAGGACCCTCTTTATTATTACCATAATTCTTAATTTATGTGTGTTGTAGTATAAAAATTTATAAGAGATTGTAATAACTTTAAATAAAACTTAAAAATCAGAAAGAAAAAATTAAGGCTTTTGTTATTAAGCCTTAAAGGTGAGTGATTCATTCAAAAATTCAAATGTGAAACAGAAAATAAAACAAAGGCGGATCAAACCAGTCGTTTGTAAAATAGCACTTTTTCCTTGAGTTATTGACAATATTGTTTTTAAAACAATGTTCATATCGCATTATTTAAATTACTTTTGTATAAATTGTTGCACACATTTAGAATGAGCAAAAAACAGCGTTTAGATAACAATTGAATTCGACGGTGAGGTAAGTGAATAATTAATTTCTTGATAGAATGGCGTTAGCTTTTTGTTTTTATAGACATTTGGAAAAACTAGCAGTTTCAAAAATATAAGATGTTGTAAATTTAAACTTTATGAATTTCAAGAGACTGTAGCTTGGAAAAGGTTTGAGATGGTAAAAAATTTCCTTGATAAATTATTTGTCAATGCCATGAATAA